TATATGGTACATGTATATTTTTACTTCAAACAAAGAGCAAAGAGAACAATTTCAAATCAAGAGTGAAGCCTAAAACTGTGGAAGCTGGTGGTTAGTGTGCTCATGTGCTTGAAAGACGGAAATCAGAGAGCAATTTTTACTCCATGACAAATGTATAGGCTATTTTCAGTTTGAAGAGAGAGCAAAGACGACGACAAGCTCAAATCAAGAATGAAGCATAAAAGTGTGGAAACTGATGGTTAGTGTGCCAGTCATGTGCTTGGAAGACTTCTGCAGTGTCCTTGAGTGTGACTCTGGTTTGTTTGGGTTGGCCCTCAGGTTTGTGTGTGCCCAGCTGCCCAACCCTGTTCTGGAGAGCATCAGTGTGATTGACACTCCAGGAATCCTGAGCGGAGAGAAACAAAGGATCAGCAGAGGTAACTGACTGCCAAAATGCATCAACATGCACATGCACAGAAGAAAAATATCATCTGAATCGGGAGCTATTGATATATAAAAACTACCTTTCAAAAATTTAGAGCCGGTAAGATTTTGTATTGTTTATAAAAGAAGTCTCTTATTGTTGTCAAGGCTGCTTTGGTCAGAAAAACAGTAAAAACAGTAATATAGTGATAGATTATTACAATTTAAAATAACTGTTTTTGAATACATTTTAAAATGTAATTTATTTCTGTGATGGCAAAGCTGAATTTTCAGCATCATTACTCCAGTCTTCAGTATCACATGATCCTTCATTCTGATGTCATTGATTCTGATATGCTGATTTGCTGCTCAATAAACATTTACTGTTTTTCTTAATGTTAAAAACAGTTGTTTAATATTTTTGTAGAAACCTTAATTAAGACTTTCCAAACCTTTATTTTAATATACATTTTTTTTCCTGTTTTGGTTTTGCATTTAATTTGTAATATTTTGCAGGAAGTAATCAAACATTAAAGGTTGGAGGTTTAAAGTTATTAATTTCACACTTTAGTATAACTTGGTTTAATGGTCTAGTATTGTTGTGTTTTGTTATACCAGTCCTAGAATGTTTTCAAAGTACAACTGCATAACAAGATCATGTGATCTCAGATTTCAAATTTGAATACTAGTTCTTGTTCCCTGTGGCATCAACTGAAAAAGATTTTCTTTAGGAAACTCAGAGTTCACTTGATCGTTATATTGTAGCGATTATAATTTTTTCAAGTTGCAGTTTCAATCTGTGTTGTGTTAAAAGTCTGTGTTGAATATGATGAGAGACGAGGCTTTATCAAGATGAAGGATGTTGTTTTGGCTTGTAGACTGTAAGGACAGATACAAGACCTCATGCAGGCCTTATAATGTGAAAATGGTACATAAAATATAAGAGTTTGAGTTTGCGCTACATTTTATCTATAGTAATACATTTTTCAACTGTATTGTATCAAAGGATGGTGGATGTGTGCTTCTTTTCATTCTCTGGTTTGCCACTTATTGTACTGGATATCAGGTTTGGCAGATATTTTGAAACCTCTTTGTTTCAAGTACATTTTTTGTTAACAAGTTTTGACACTTAAGCTTAGCGTATGTATAATTTTTCCACCCGCCATTACGTTTCATGCATGATCAAGCATTCTAGACTTTTATACATAAATGTTGTGACATAATTTCAGTGCTGTAAAAATTACTATACAATGTCACTTCTAGTTGAATTACTGAACCAATGCCCTCGTAACAGTAAGCTTGTTTAGCATATGGTTAATTCATTGCTCATTCAGAGAAGTCCATTGCAGCTGAGCGGCCCGTAGTATTACTGCTGGGCTTCCTGGCATCAGCCGGTCACTCTCCTCCCACTGCACTCAGCCTCACAGACTGAACTGATATGGCCCGAGGATTATAGACACTCATGTTTGTGAGGCCAGAGGCCAGAGCCAAGAGCCGGGCTCTCCAAGATCATTTCACAGGGGGCGAATATTTAGTAGCTCTCGTTTGTGCTGAAAGCAGTAAATGTAGGTTTAAAGGTAAGTGCTTACATTTGGCAGTGAAATTAGTCGTCATGTGATACAGGAGCCTCTGTTGAAAATGAAGTGGAAGTGTGTCAAATAGATGCACACTGGAGCACAAAATAAATGCACACAATATTGTTATATTATGTGAAATGGTATGCATCATGCAGTGGTAATCTTTTCAAACCCTAGAACACTACAGCATCCAGTGACCAAGTGACATTGGTGTGTGTTCTAGTCTATGGCTGCTTAGCTCTGGCTTTAAAGAGCTATTGATCGCAGTGAACATAATGTTTGTGAGCTTTTAAAGTTGCTATTGAATTGTGGATTAAGTCATTTGAGGTGTTCTCACACATGAGTGCATGTAAGAAGAGCAAGCAGTTTCGTGACAACTATTGTATCTTCACACTAAACTGCATTCTGCTTCATAGCATTAATCTTGTAGCATTTAGCGATCTTTCTTCTTGTTTGAACACTGGATCTAAGTATGTGCTGCTGCAACAGTTATTTTTATTACTTTGTCTCACCGTCTGTCTCTCTTTTAGGGTTTGGAATCGAGAACTGGTTCATTTTATTAAAAAAAATAAATAAATACTTGAACAGAATGATTTTCATGAGATTTGGTTCTGTACCAGCTGACGAGAGTTCCTGAATTTACAAAAGAAATTGTTTTAGCTGAGTTTTGAATTGAATGGGAAAGTTTCTATTGCTAAATCTCGTTCTAGTTTTAATTGCATTTTCATTTTATGCTGATCTTCAAAATAATCAAAGTCAGAACCAGGTTGGTTAAATTCCCATCCCTGCTGTCTTCTTTGTTTCTCCTCCCATTTTCCTCTCCAAAAGTCTCATTTATATGTCGGTGTGATGGTTGAATTTAGCAGGACGTTATGAGTAAATGTCTGTCATGCGTCCCCCATTCTTTGATTATGTCAAGCAGGTCTGTGGAATTTCTCCAGCAGTCACATGAGATTATAGGGAGGAACCTTCTCGTTCATATTCATAGCTACAGGCAGTTCATCTTTTATCCAGTTTCAGCTTTTTCCTGTATGCTGGTGCATATGAACTGAATCAAATCATTAAGATAAGATTTCTCTTGTTCCTGCATTGCTCTGTGAATTCTGTTTCTAAGGATCATTTGGTCAGGTGTTTTCAGCCAGGTGCATGTGTTTATGTTTATACTTACTGTGTGTGTCTGTAATTAGATGCTGTTGGTGTCTTTCTCTCAGACGGCACACCCACAGACCATTCATGATCACTGTTTGATACATATTGCACACAGAAACACCAAGAGCTGGCTGAAACTGTCCTGTCTGATTGGCTTGCTTGTGCACAATTCTGTAGTTGGTCAGTTTGTTCATATCATCTTTTAGTTTTTATGAAGTGCATTACAGAAGACATACAAGAGTCCGAGACCAGATTTAAATTCTGGGATTCAAAATGAAATTTAAAACCTGAAAATAAAGTTTTAGATTTTTTAAAATGTTTCAAATATATTATTATATTCTTATATAAAATAATATTATAATAAGATTTAACACTAATTAGGGATATAATATTGAACATTTTCGTTTGACATACTAAATATTGTTAGACTAGCAAAATAATTTGTAATAGAATAATGTATTAACATAGCAAATGTACAAAATGAGCATTTTCATTTCCCTTTTTCATTTAGTATTTAGTCAACCATTGTACATCTACAAAAACATTTACATACACATACATAATATTTTTAAGGAAAACGTGAACATTTTTAAAAATCATATTTTAAATCTTACTGAACCAAATCCTTTCAACAGTAGTGTAAGGACTTCACGTGTCAGTCAGATAGATTCTTCCTGTCAGACAGACGGAGAGGACGGTTCCGGACTAAATTAAGCTGCAGTATCAAACTGAATAGTGAATTTTATATAGAATCATAATTTGGCTTGGATACCTACAGTGTCACTGCGTATCCTGATGGATCTGAAGCTGTAGTGTATAGATCATCACCAACACTGAGAGACAGTTCCCCACCCAGATCACTCCATTAAATAACATCTATACAGTTCTGACACCCATCAGCACTTTTTCATATATCCATTACAAGAACAGCATCTCACAGAAAGCAAATGCTACTGCTTTGTCTGACAAACATCAACACAGCATCTTTCTTTCTCTCTCTCTCTCTCTGTCTCTCTGTAATATGGGCCCATATGATCCCAGTTACACCTCTGCAAAGAGAGCCATTAGTAGAGAATGGCCATTAGCTAGCTTCATCGTTTAATTTTTCATCGCTGTAATACTGCAGGACTCATTATATTATTCTCTCTGTTCTACTCCGTTATCAAGTGTTTGGCAGTGCAGCATGTTTCTGAGCGTGCAGCTGTAAAGCTCCATTGACCACGTGCCAGTGCTGCTCCCAAGAGCGGCTTTATCATTCCCAGTTCTCCTCTACCTCCACCACAGGCAGGTGCTGTGAAATAGACCTCATTTCCTCCAGGAAATACTGTCTGCCAAATCCAATCACTGGAGTGGTTCTGTTGTATTATATGTTTGGCTGACTGTGTAACAGATGATCGTGGCTCCGGTGTAGGTTTGTAGATAAGCAGTGGTCACTTAAATCGGTCTGTTTGTGGTTAAGGTTCATTTAAATGCATTACTGTTTTGTTGTAGTAGCATGCTATTAAATAATGCCTCGGCTCTGAACCACATAGAGCTCAAAACCACACTCGTGCTACTGTTTGTGTTTAATTGGAAAAAGGTTAGGCTCAGTTTGCAACAATATGTAGAAACACCTTGTAGCTATATTATATTGGAATTAACTTAAATGTAACTGTATAACTTTTGACAAGCATTTTCAAAGCCTGTTGACTTTTGCATTATTCGGCATTAAACTTGGTGTCATTTAGTCACATCACAATTGGTGTAAACACTAAACAGACATTTTAAGATCTGAAAATTAGTATTCATTTACTGTGTGCAAAGCACAACATGCCAAGTGTTGTCTGATTCACGAACAAATTACTGTTATAAGCTGGTTCTTTTCAGTGAACCAGTAACATTCTGCACAACCTGTGTAGTATGATTCATAAACAAATGATTCTCATGAGCTGGTTTTTTTCAGTGAATCAGTAACATCTAACACAACCTGTGTAGTACGATTCATAAACAAATAATTCTCATGAGCTGGTTATTTTCAGTGAATTGATCACATCCAGCACAACCAGTGTAGTCTGATTCTCAAACAAATGACTCTAATGAGCTGGTTATTTTCAGTGAATCATCCAGCACGACTAGTCTAATAATTGTCACTATTTTGTGAATCAGAAACAGCACAACCAGTGTAGTCTGATAGTTACCAGTTGTCAGTTTATGATTATGGTTTTGATCTTGCACGTTCTTTAAATAACATCCTTTTTAGCATCTTCATCAGTTCAGGATGTTGCAGAGTGCAAACGCAGCACAGCGTCAACCAAAACCATTTCCTTTTTTCATGTTCTTTTATTCATATCTTTCGTTTTGTTTTTTCATCAGCTCATACCAGACTTTTCTTTCTAGTGCCATGAACTACCTAAACTTTCACTGAATCTGAAACATTTCTAATTAAAAGTCTATCCTTTTTTTCCTGTGGTACTGTAATTTGACATCTTTGTATCTTTCTCTCTCCATGAACAGTTGCTACAGAAGATGGCTTTGGTTATAGCTGCCTGCGTAAATGTCCATATGGAGGTATTGTAGATACTGACAAACTACTGTTAACACCTGCAGCTTATTACGCCAATGAAGTTCCAGCACCGCTCGACTCCAGACGTGCTGTGAAATCACAGGGCCTCTTGATATTAACCCTCAGATCTGTCCCTCTGCAACAATATAATCACAGCTGTAATACCAAGCCCAGTTTCACCGCTGTTATTGTCCTGCTCTCAATGACACTGTCTCATGTGTCTGTTACTGTAGATGTTGTCTTTCTTAGACCTTTGAGTTGACTAGTCCCAGTCTAAAGTTACAACAATTCTGGATAGAGATCTATAAGTTGTTGAAAAGACAAACCACACTGTTGCAGGTGACAATAAAGCATCCCCATGTGAAACTGTCAAATCGGAAGGGATGGTCCACCCCATTCCTGTAGGCATGGGATCTTCCTGTGGAAGAAATGGCTATATCTGCCATATTCCATGTCACTGATTTGAAATATTAACACACTAATTCCTCCCAACAGAACTGCCAGCTTTGGAAATATACTCCTTTTCAGTCAAGGTCATCGCAAAAATGCTTACACACTGATGGCGTAATTGATGATAAGCTGGAAGTTGTTACAGAAGATATACGTCAGAGAAAAAAAATTACAGCTTGACTCAACAGCAGAGCCTGGTCAGAATCATCATCACCTTTCCTCGTTTCAGATGTCTTTCAACTTAATGTTCCAGGGTGGAAAATTAGACATTATGTTTATTCATAAACCCTTTTTTCCAACAGGTGTGTCCAAACTTGTTTTATAATTGTAGTTTTAGGAAACGCTAACAACACTGTGCAGAGCAAATTGTAGTCTAGGTGGACTGAGGGGGACAAAAATAGATATATTTATATAAAAAAGAATACATATATGTAACATGCAATTAAAAGATGATACTGGTTGTGCAGGTAATCAGCTACAGTACATCTGAAAAACTAGACCAGAAAATGCAAAGAAAGTCCTTGACTTTGACTCAGAGGTCAGGTGATTAGTGGGGATTGTTAAATGTGCTGAAAGATACTGAGGGATCATGACTCATAATGTCATTCCCCATAAAGACATGGTTCTAAATGCCCTTGAGTGATCTTGCAGTCTTCCTTGCTTTAATTACTTATTATAAAATCACGTCTAAAGGAAGTTGACTCAAAAATGTTGTTCTCATGTTCCAAACCTGTGACTTTTTCTCTTCAAAGGAACACAAAAGAACGATTTAAGGCCTGTATTCGCAAAACACATTATTGTCTTTTATGCAATAATTCTTTAGCACATTACATTCGGAAATACTAAAGTGTTTATGTATTAAATTGAGCCCTAATACTTTCATGTCTTATGTCTGTTGCTGTCCTATGACTAGATTCCACGTTTTTAAACAGCAGTCCACCTCTTAGATGTATAAAAGAACAGTAACTTAGGTAGTCAGACATAAAGCTGTCATTTAAAAGGAAACTGAAACACTCTGATGTCGGTTCATTTACGACTGAAATCCTTTATTATCCCCATCAGTATAAACGTTGGTCAAAACACATGGGCTGGGCCATAGAGACCCTCTCTGGAAGAGGAAATGTTGGGGACTGTTAGTACTGTTCTCTTGTCAAACTCAATTTAAATCTCTAGATCCAGCTGGATGCATTAAAAAAGAACATTTAAGTTCTCTCCCTGTCCCTCACCCTGATCATACAGATGTGCTTCCCCTCCTGTCATCATTTACAGTCACCTTCCTTCCACGCAGGGGCCAGGCCTCTTTCTGCCGCAGACGACGACTTCTTTATTAGCTTGTGTATTCTTGCTACTATTCAGCTTCATAATGAATTGTTTGGGTTGAATGCATTTGTAAAAAGCTGCATCTTTTTATATTCAATGTCTCAATTTGTTTGTTGGCTATAAAATCATTATAGAGTCTAATGCAAAAACATGTTTGTGTCATATTACATCCCAAAAAGAAAAATTAAGCCCGTTTTAGAATCACATTCACATGCAAAATGACCAGTGAGTTGAAAAATATGCAAAAATTTTAATTAACAAATCAAAATAATGTATTCCAGAGAATAAGTATTTTGTAAAAAATTTTGCAAAAATGTTAATTATAATGAAAATGTCACAATAAAATGTATTTATTTATGAAATAAGGAATTTTATTATAGGTTTTTGTTTTGAGCAAAAGGTTTCAGTCGTTTTTATTTTATTTTTATTTTTTTTAGTGTTAAAAACAACCCAGGCATGCTCTTTGTAATTGTGATATACTGATGTCTGTTCTATAAACTTACAAGGAGCTTTGCTTTTGTGCTCTCACAGGTCCATGCATACATCATTAGCTCCTTGAAAAAAGAAATGCCCTCAGTCTTTGGGAAGGAGAACAAAAAGAAGGAGCTGGTTAACAGCTTGGGCGAGATCTACAGCCGCATTGAAAGGGAACACCAGATTTCCCCGGGAGACTTCCCTAATCTTAAGAAAATGCAGGTAAGGTCAATTTAACCAACAAACATAGAGGCTGATTCAAGAATGCTTCACTGGGGCTTCTAAAGGGTCTTTCAGTGTACATTCAAAATCAGCATAATTTGTCCCACATTTTTTAAAGTCAACAAACAGCTGTATACATGTCAGCTTTGGGTGGACCTCCAAACCTGATTATGTGCCTTTTTTTTTTTTATTAAAATCGCTTTTGTAACAGTTCTGTTTAGATTACTGTTACTTTTATACAACAGCTCTATAAACAAATGAATATTGAGCAATTTGCGTTTCAGACAAAATTTGGCTAGTTAGTTTATATGTTTCTTCTCCGCCTATGAAACTATTTCCAAAAGAAGCCAAAGCATCAACTTTTTCACGTTGCCAAGCATCAACAGCCTGACACAGCCTGTCTGCAATAGAGTATCTAAAGGGAGCGGAGCTGGTTTACACTGGAAATTTTTGTTACATCCTATAAGTGTTTTTCTTGCTTTCTTTCCCGCTGAATAGGAGCAGCTTCAAGCACACGATCTGAACAAGTTCCAGCCTCTGAAAATGAAGCTGTTGGACACCGTGGACGACATGCTGGGTCACGACATCGCCCAGCTTATGGTTCTGGTGCGTCAGGAGGAGACGCAGCGCCCCAACCAGGTGGTGAAGGGTGGCGCCTTCGAGGGCACCATGAATGGGCCGTTCGGACACGGATATGGCGAGGGAGCCGGCGAGGGCATTGATGAAGTCGAATGGGTGGTGGCACGTGACAAACCTATGTATGATGAAATCTTCTACACTCTCTCGCCCGTCAATGGCAAAGTGACTGGAGCCAATGCCAAGAAGGAGATGGTGAAGTCCAAGCTGCCAAACACTGTGCTGGGTAAGATCTGGAAGCTGGCTGACATTGATAAAGATGGGATGCTCGATGATGAGGAGTTTGCCTTGGCCAATCACCTGATCAAGGTCAAACTAGAAGGTCACGAGCTTCCAAGTGAACTGCCCGCTCATCTTGTGCCGCCCTCTAAAAGAAAGGTTCCAGAGTAAGATTGGTTTGGAATTGGGATGGATTTTGGGAAAGCATATAGTTTGAATTACTGATGGCCGGACAACTTTTACTATACTGTAGAAAAAAAATAACTGTGACTTCTTTGAAATGTGTGGTTTATGCTTCACTAGCAAGGATGGATTTGGAACTCTTTTGACTTGTGTATGTATTTTTTTGTTTTGTTTTATTTTTTATGAACAAATTGTGCTGTCTGCAGTCTGTTTTATGTGTGCTTTCAGATTTTACAATCATATTTTTATGCCACAATTTCAATTTCATCCGTTCAGCTATCATGACTGTAACGCTGAGTCCTAACCAGTCATGTTGCGATGAATGATATTAAATGTAAAACAGCACATTTTGTCGATCACACGATTTCAGTTTCTGTGACAATTTGCTTGCTAGCCTTTCCCGCAGTGAAATCTCATTGGTCTAAAAATCTACTTCAGGTAATTACATTAAACATCGTTATCTTCTGATTGGTCGACAATGACATTGTGTCACGTTTCGTAGCTGTTTTGTGTTCAGGTGATTATTTGTCGCATTGCGCCTGGTTAGGACACGCTAAAATGCTTTTCAATATATTTCACTTTCACGCTCAATTTACACTACTGTTCAAAAGTTGTTTTTGAATATCTCTTTTGCTTGCCGAGACTGCATTTATTTTGTGAAATAATATTACAATTTAAAAAAAAAACTATTTTCTATTTTAATCTATTTTGAAATGTGATTTATTCCTGTGATGGAAAATCTGAATACTTCTGTTACCTGCCGTCTTCCGTGTCACATAGTCCTTCAGAAATCATTCTAAAAAATATTAATAATCTCACTGACCCTACATTTTTGAACGGTAGTGTATATCCGATTGATCTGTGTCTCAGGAGGGGTGAGACGTCAATTAATGTAGAAAAACATGAATCTTATTCTGAATCTTTGTATCAGTTGTTATTCTAAGTACACAACTGTTAAAATGTAGCTAGAAAAGCTAAATTCCTTTTATAAGTAGGTGTAACTGTTGTTCTCTTCTTGTTAAGGCGGCATCTTTAATGAATGCGAGTCCTTTCTAGCCTGACCAAGAGACTGTTAAAACTGTATAGCCGTCACGTCAGAAGACTCAGTGTTTAGTGTTCTTGATGGACCCGTAGAGCTAGTATCCTTGTCAGTAGTCTACTGTATATGTTAATGCCTAACATATCTAAACTAACTAGGGTTATAGTAGTGTTTATATAATTCCCGTCTGATTTTCCAAAGAAGAAAAAAGAATGATGCTGCAAAACCGCTTTATTCAAGTGATGTGAAGTTCTCTTTCTGAGCGTTTCTGCATTCACATGCTCATTTAAAGAGCAGTGGTTTTGGATCTAAATATGTATTTAGTTATATTACTTTATTATATCTGCATTTAATGATTTAATTAACTCTTTACCTCTGTATCCACCCCTTGACAAGCAGTTATCTAGAGCTGTCGCATTTTCTCAAGCAGATTTTTAGGATCTGAATGTGAATTGGTAGAATTTTATGCACTGAACTAAATGGTCTTTAAAAAAAATGACAATTCTCTCACTATTTACTCACCCTCGTGTCATTTCAAACCATGTTTTAATTCCATGGTTGATGAAAAAGGAGATGTTTAGAAACATAGTCACGCTGCTCTTTTATATACAAGATCAAAAATAACAAAGTGCCATAAAAGCAGTTCAATATGACTTCTATACTATATTCCAAGTCTTCTGAAGCCATGTGATAGCATTATGTAAAGAAAAGGCTGAAATAGAAGTGATCATTTGCTGAAAATTGCCATATATGTACATAATGTAATTTGGCTTCTCATGATCAGTTACTGTACAAGACACACTGACGTTTGGCGTCATTGACATTAAAGGGATAGTTCACCCAAAAATGAAAATTCCTAACCCTCATGTTGTTCCAAACTTGTAAGACTTACTTTCTTCTGCAAATCTTATTACAAAAGAAGATATTTTGAAGAATGTAACTAAACTCTTTCAGTTCCATTGTATGGACAAAAAAATTTAAATCAATGGGAAGTGAAATGGTTTGGTTATCAACGTTATTCAAACTATATTCTTTTGTGTTCAGCAGAAAAAAGAAATGGAACAACATGAGAGTGAGGTGACGTTTTTTGGGTGGACTATCCCTTTAACTTAAAAAAAAAAATCATGCTCATTGGATGGACACAACTAAAGTATGACAGGATTTTTACTTTTTGATGTACTGTTCCTTTAAATCTGATCTGCTTTGATCTGAATGTCCATTTGCTTATGTGAAATATCTCCACTGATTTTAACTAAACCTTTAAGCCTGTTTAGTCAATCAATTAAACCTATAAGCTGCCTCAGTGCCTTGAGACACACCCGCCTCAATCAGATTTGTGACACTAGAGATGTACAAACACGCTGTCATATTCTACAATATCATGACATGCTCATGAAATAAACTGACATTCTTCGAAGACTTTCATTAATGCTCCATTCGAGTCTATAATGAAAAAAAATTCCAGATTTGCTCATAATTTTTGCACATGAAATTTTTTTTTTGCCCATAATGTAGGGTTGTGCATTTGTGCGTTTGACCAAGTATGTACATGTGTATGGGTGCAATATGGTTTGCAAATGTATTGTGAAGTGGTCTGTGTACGTGTGCTTGTTGCTCATTGTGTTTTAACCGGTGTGGACAAACTTTGTGAGACACTACTGTTCAGGGAGGTGGACATTATTCAACTTAATAAAGATCTAACTCATTTAAAAGTGCTTCGTATTTGGGGTTTCTGTTCTAGGCTTGTTACATCTTGACTTAATTTATTCCAGATTAAAATACTAACTCTTTTACTCTTTAATTTAAAAAAATCTTTTTAAAAATCTTTTTTTTTTTTTTTGGTTTCTTGGTTGGTGATTTTTAAACAAAATCTGTGGTAAAAGTAATCAAAGTTTTGTATTTTTTTTAATTATTATTATTATTTTGCCTGTTTTTAAACTGCAATTATTCATTATGACAGTTCACAATGTTAATTCACAAAATAAAATTTCATTATACAATATCTGCAGTAATAATATTCCCTTATTTTTTCCATTCCAAACCTCTCTGTGTCTAGAAATGGGAAAAACAGGTCAGATTGATGTACAGAATGAAAAAAAACATTAAACACAGGCAGTCCCAACGGAGACAGTACATAATGTTTTCAGCAGATCTTTGTCCTGCATTAACAGGGCGGTTCTGCATGAGTGATGACTTCCTGTTTGTTGCATCATGTACTGTATGTCCTAGGAAACGCAAGCACGGGGTGGATTCTCATCTGGTCCTTTTCTTGACAGCAGGATATGATAAGCAGGGAACACCTGACTTTTCCTCACTACCGGTCACGGAATATTCTGTCCACTGATGGAACATGCTTACTTCAGGATAAGCTACAGGGGTGTAGAAAAAGAATGTATAAGATATTAAAAGTTTGGAATTTTTCTTTATTTTGTAAACTTTTTATTCTTCAAAACGCAATACTGAAAATTACGTGCACTACAGTTAGAAGTTTTTTAATGTTTTGGATAAGTCTCTCATGCGTACCAGACTGCATTATTTGATCAAAAATACAATAAAAACAGTAACATTATGTAATATTATTACTATTTAAAATAACTGTTTTCTATTTTAATCTTTAAATGTTTGCAATACGGAAAATTTGAGGACGTTTTAAACCACTGGTTACCTATCAGGTCGGGTGATCTCACCACAAGAGCTGATCAATAACATTTTGCTGGAAGTGATCAGGAAACCTATGAGGCTACAGGATTTATACTGCAGATTCATCAGGCATGTTTGCCAAACAACATCTGAGGAGTATTGGAACAGTGTATTGTAGACAGATGAGACCGAGTTAGAGCTCACTGGCACCAAAGCCTGACATGTTTGGCAAAATACAAGGATTGCCTTTGGCCAGCAGCACCTCGGACCATCTGTAATGCTTGGTGGTGGAAGCATTATGGTTTTGGGCTGCTGTTGTGCCTCAGGGTCTGGCCAGCCTGAGTCAACCCTGAATTCCACACGGAACCAGAAAGTAGTTGATGGGAATGTGAAACCATCTGTCTAAAAGCTGAGGCTGAACCACAAGTGGACATAGAAATAACAAGACAATGACTTGAAACACTCAAGAAAAGCCACAAATGAATAGGTCAATATGAAGAAATGAAGGGTTATGGAATTACAAAGTCAAGGCCTACATCTTTCCACAGCAGAAATTCTTACAACAAGACTTTGGTTGAAAAATACTTGAAAGAATGTTTGCCTTGCTTGTGCTAAACAACTTAAAATGGAAATGTATGTCAAATCAAATCAGCAGGAAGTCTTGCGCCACTGATATGCATGTCATGTGGTAAAAAAAAAGACTAAATAATCTCTGACTGAAACCTTTTTTATGAGTCACTCAAAATAATTTATAATAAAAATTAAAGTATTTCATAAATAACTAAATACATTTTAGGGTTGTTCATCAGTATGTACCCTGACCTTGAGTCCTTCCCATGTTGAACCATGAGAGGAAGAGGAAGATTTTCATGATTCGAAAGCTCCCAAACATCCGGCGCTCTAGATAAATCCCTCAGGAAGAGCAGCGCTCCATCACAGCTGGTTGGGGACTCACATGTGTCCTTGACCTTGTGTACAGTATATTTCTGCTGTATGTGAAAGAGTGAGTGGGATGTGCGAGGTTGTCACATATAGATACGATTTTACAAAGTGACTACCTAACATTCAATAAAAAAGAGAAATAATCAAAAGAAAACACACTGGATTCAGTAGAATAGCCTTTAGAGTTGATACAGATGGAAATTTCCAGATATAAATGGGAAAAAAATGAAATATACAATTTTCAGAGTCCTCAGGCAGATACAGGACTGTGAGTATGGCAGCAAGAAATGGATCATTTTCATTTTGACAGAATTGTATATGGTTTTCAAGATAAGGATATCAGAGAGGAGGATATACTGTACAGAATGTCAGAACTTGTTATCAAATACATGCTTCATTAATAATGCTGATAAAAATCAACCATGGCTAAGGAATGCAGCTGTAAAGAGAGTCTGAACATAGATAGTGAAAGATGAGACAATATAGCTCTAACTTCTGTTTCCAATTATTCTACATTATGCAACTGGTTCCATGTGTCTTGTTGGCAACCAAACTAATTTTGATCTGTCAAGTCAAATTATCACAGTCTAAACTGTTTTACACTGGAGAGAAAAATAAGTAGAGCAAGGGAAAACACTCTTGTGCATGTTTTTGCAGGGTCATCGGGTGTAAAACCAGAATCCTCTTATGGGTATGTAAAAGTATGAACAAATTCAGTTATTAAAGGCAATGACTGTGAGCTGCAGGTTAGGCCTGATTTTCTAAATCAGAGTAAATAGAATGTTTGTCAAGAAAATGTAATGTCATTGCATTGAATAAATAAAATCTAGACAAAGAAACTTAAGGGACATGGATACAAGTAGGTACAAAATTTAATTAATTTGAATTAAATTAATTCAAGGTTGAATGGTTGAGCTGCATGCATGAATACAGTCAACAATACGCTTTTGCATAAAAATTGTGAAAATGTTCTTTTGTTTGTTTGTTTTTCTAAATCAACGTGTTCACTTATTTGCTTATCATGTTCAGAAATAGTTAAGTAATAGTTTAACTTATCTAATAATTTTCATTAATGTAATGGCACATCAAAGAATACTCTATTCTTAGAAAATGCTGTTCACATTTCCCTTTAGCCGAGCTGAAAGACTGTGTCACGGGTGTCAAGGTTAGGCTGTTGTACTCATGAAAGCTCACATCACACTGCTAATTGTCTTAGACGTGGAGAGCCGTTGCTTGACAGAGCTGAAGATGAGCTGGCTGACAGAAATGCAGAGGAGTGCTGAACCCAGGCCATGAGGCCTCACGAGTGTGTTACTCAGCTCTCAGACCTGAAGACACTCTCAAGTATGTGAGGAGAATGCCTCTTAGTATGCAGCAAACATGATTAACATCTCTGTGCTGAGTTGAACACTCAATCTCTGGAAATTTTGTATAGTATTTGGTGTAGATTAGAAGCACAAAAACATCTATTTGCAGCTGTGTGCACTGACAGTTAGATTGAATGTTTATGGAGATTATGTTTATTTGTTGATGATGGTCTGTTTTGGTTTTATTTTGAAAAAAAAAAATGGTTTGCATCATTCTTAACAAAAATGGTGAAACAGTGAAATGGTGAAACAAAAGAGTCGTAATTGGAGTTTGTGAGTATTTGTCTCCCCCTAATGCACAACTAAGAGTAGCACATGTAATGCTTTGATTAAAGTTTAAAGTAAAGTAAATGTGAAGTTTGTAAGACTTTTTGTCAAAATACATTCTCTTAAATTAACCCATTTAATGTGCATTCACTACTATAAATATATGCATGGGTTTATGTACCCAAAAAGTGTAAACAACACTGAGCCTCCCTGACACCATCAAAATATTTGGAGTGGTTAGATTAGATACGTCAATCATTCCATCTTGACCAATAGCGAG